TATTCATAATTTTATCGTGATGTTCTATGAAACGATTTAATTTTGGAAATCCATCAACATAAAATCCTATAAATAAGTATATTTGTTTAGTATTGAATAAAAACTGTTTCTAATACTAAATATATAAATCCATATTCAAACCATGCATGGTATATTTCTTATCAGCAAGTAAAACAGAAAGACCCCAAAATGCATCTTCTTCATCCATATATAGTAAAAGTAATCCAGCTAATACAGACATCCCTTGGCAATAACCCACTTCCATATTGTACATGCTATATGCAGCCAATACATAAAACATAGAACGTTGTTTTATACTATATCTTTCTCTGTTGAAAATGAAAATAAAAATTTAACATAACTTCTAATAAATATATATCAATTTTTTTCATACTATCAATCATAATTTGCATACCTATAATTGATATGATCTCTATATTGTCTAGCTACATCAGCATCGATTTGTCTTATTTCTGTAGACCATTGACGTGCAAGTTGTAACATCTCTTCATATTTACCAGCTTGTTCTTTTTTTAAATTTTTAATACCCAATAACAATGCCCACACTTGACCACGAAATCTATTAGGAATCCCTTTATATATTCTGCGTCGTAATTTTTCCTTAGTTGATGAACTATCCCATTGTTTTGTCATTTTTTCCCATTTTTTTAATCTTTCCATTTCTACTCGATGAGTCTTAATTTCATTAGGATCTGGTTTTTGTGGCAAACGTTTATCACTAAAATATAAATATTAATAAATATTAATAAAAAATTATATTATTTTTAATACTAATAATTTTTATTATCATTACTGTATGAATCCATATCTGTCTGTGGTATGATATACTTCAAAAGTAGGATCTTCCCAAGGGTCAATTTCTGCTCCATTTTCTCTACCACGGTCGTAGCAGCTAAATATTCTATCTCGCTCTGCAGCAGACCGTTTTAATAATTCTTCCTCATTCATCCCCCGTGAGAATTCGCAACCAGATTCTTACAAACATGCCGTCTTATTAAAAGAAGTCTATTCACTTTAGGCTATTATCTAAAATAAAAATAAATATTTATAATAAAATAAAAAAAAAAATTCTCTTTTATATTTCAAATAATTTCAATATATGAAATTTATACACATATTAAGAACAAAAATTATGAAACATTAATATATCAAATAAAATTATATTTATAAAGTGATTTTAATTTTGATCTTATAAAAAAGAAAATATTAAATATATTGCAACCTAAAATTAAAATATAAAATATACTTTTTTATTTATATCAGGAGAAAGAAAATTTTTATTTTATAAACTTCATTGTTCTAAAGTTAACGTACCACGTATTGACAAGGAACAAGGTTATATACATAGAAATTAAATGATGTCTTCAATAATTGATTTAAATCTTATCATCAAAAAATTGATTGTATAATTATAAATATTTCATATTTATAAATTAACTATCTTTCTTCGTTTCATAATATAAATATAAAATCATATTTGCATAAGTCGTTCAACAAAACTACCGTACATACTTACATATCAGTACTGCAACTTCAAGCCGGATTCGGATGTTTCCATTCTCTTTTATAAGTGCTACCAATATATTTACATAAAATAAATAACTTTGCAAAATTAATCTTGCTGGAACATATTATTATAAAATTTATATATTTTTTATTTTTATAATATTTTTTTTCTAACTATTATAATATTTTTATGAAAGAAAGAATATTAATCATTCTATATATAAATATTT